CTTACCCTACCTTACTCTTTAGAATCAGAAATCTGGATCTGCACTGTTTGCTCACTACCCTTTTAGAATCAGTCTTGGAAGGCTTTCAGGGTAAGGTTTAGAGTATCAAGCCATAGAGGAAGTGTTGTTTGACTTGCTTAAGGATCACTAACATTGTCAATTCATCAAGTTGATTTATATTTCTTTTCCCTAGCTTTCCAAAATTGTGTCCTCTTTGCCTTTTCTCATGGCACACTGAATGATGTGATTCTGACATGTTCTCCATTTGTGATTGTCAATAGCCAGGAAGATTTATAGCCTAAGGTTAAAAAAATTCCTCTGGCTATGCTCTCCTCTTGTTCTTTAGCTTAGGAATCCAAAACAGGGAATTAGTTTTAAATTGACTGTAAATACTAATGCTGGATTTAAAATTCTAAATGATACCACTTTGCTATGTATGTTTCAATATATAATATTTTATGTTGGTCAAAATGATATGAAAAAGCCTCAGATTTTTCAGGATGACTGAAAAAATTTTACTTGCCACTTTTTACTGTGGTGATGCTGTGATAAAACCTAAAAGTATGTTAACATGTTCTGAATATATTAACCATCATAGTAATTCTTTTAAAGCAAATGCATTAATTTAATTTTTTACCTATTTTTTTTCACTTTAAGTTTTAAATTTGTAGTAGGAAAATATCTGAAGCTCTAACATTAAGAAATGAATGCTGACTAGGATCAGACTCAAAGTCACCCACATTAAAGCATGAAGCCCTTTAATTGCATTATTCACATTTTTTAATTCCCTATATTTTTCATCCACTTATTTGATTTCTGGGAGTGATCTTTAGCATAACTAAACAAGACAGTAATATCTTTAAAAGCTCCTCACATAAAATGAAGACTGTCCATATCTTACATCTGAACAAGCAAATGAATCATTGATTCACACAGAGGATAAATTCTCACTTTATTCATTCACAATGTACATGGATCCTACATGTGTACATTCTTCCTGGTGTCATGGCTGTCCTGGAGTTATTTTCTCCTGTGTCCTACTTTCTTGGAGGATGCTGCCATTGTTACATTACTAAACGAATCCCCCAACATTACTGAACTAAAATGGGTCCTAGATGCTATTTATTAGGTGGTGAGCCCAAATGTCTCTATATGCCCCATATCTTATGCACAGAATGCAGACTTCCATACTTTGCTTCCATTTGTGAGCTGCAAATTAAACTATTCTGTGTTTCTTCCTTAGCAAGTATCACTTGTCTGAACAGCAATTCTAACTGGATTATTATTGAACTGACAGACTGGTTTCACAATAAAGAGAAAGGTTTTTTAATAGTGCACTGAGAAAAAAAAAACAACCAAAAATTACTTTTTTTTTCATCTTCAGTTGGTTAAATGAAGAACTAGCTGTGGTACCTACCAAATGTAGGTGGCAAGTTTTCTGTGCTTTAAAATAATGCCCTCAAATAACTGTGCATTTACAACTTATTATGTGAAATTAGGATCCCTACCTTCCTACTTGGTTCCTGTAGAAGTGGCAGAAAATAACAGAAGAGCAGAAAATTACAGATCCAGAAAAGAGATTTCACACACTGTTCCCTTTTTAAAACATTTTAAGCTCTATTAACAAAACACTTTAAACTTTGAATTAAGCGATGAAGCTCCTTGGCATCAGAAAACAGCTTTGAAAAAACCACTGTTTTCGTTTCCAAGAAGAAAAAGCTTAATACCAAAACCATTTCTGTTTCCAACTATAACAGTATCTGGCATAATGTGATATTGTAACAGTAATTCCTGTCTCTTGGTGAGTGTGGATGGCTTTCTGTTCCACAGTAAGAGCAGAGGTATGCAGTGGAAGGGTCAGCTTTGAGCTTGGCAGAACGCAGCATATGTGATTTTAGGCAAGTCGTTCGAGACCACGTCCAAGAAAGGCAGCAGGCAACACTTACAGTGCATAACTTCAGGGCCTGGTCTCCTCTTACAGTTCAGGTGAAGGACTGCATAACTGGGGAATTGTCTAAATCTAGCTAGGAGAGAGGTCACTGAGAACAGTAACTGGACTGAGTGCCTGTGGCGTTCCATTGCCTGCCTCTTGCCAAGACAAAGTCGTGGGCAGGTGCACAAGCACGGAGCACAAGCACGGAACCAAAAGTCCAAACCCCTCCCAAACGCTTCAAACACACATTTCTGAAATTTCAGCTCCTTCAGTGTTAGATGATAGCTGATGGAGCTTTTAAAAGGATAAAAATAATGGATTTATATGCCTAAAAGTTCTGTCTGTCCCACATTAGGCATTCCAGCAGCACTGAACTCTCCAAGTTAATTTTTCTTTTTACCTCAGCTACTTCAGTGTTACCCATAACATGTAGAGCAGGTGTGTGCTAAATTATTTTTGCATCTGGATCATAATCGTTCTGTATTCACTCCTTTACATGTGGAACAAGAATATCAGTTCCCTACTCATATACTATGAGAACAAATATATAAATATTTTTGTAAAGTGTTCAGATAATACAGACACTGGCATTTTAAAATTAGATGGAAGTACAGCTATGCTGTATATATGCTTATACTTCCATCTAATTTCAGATCTAAACAATGTAGTCAATTAGAGGATCAAAAATCACTTTAGAGGGAAGAAAAATCAGGCACCCCCCCTCTTTCTAGACCACCATTTGAATTCTATATGAGGCCTTTTAGCTGTCCAAGTTGTGATAGGCAATTACACCTTAGATAGTATTAAGAATTACTAGTTTATTCTAGTCAGGAGAGGAACAAATGCAGAAAGCATTCTTGATACTAAGGTTCATTTGTTGATGGAGCTAGGGGATTGATTTTGATTTTAACTGAGAGATTTCTCATGAAAGGCCTTGTCAGAATTAAATGTCAGACAATTAAGTTTCTGGTGATATTTGCTAAAACCCAGTTTCTTTAGTATACATGAAGTTAAAAATCCATTACCTTTTTTTTCCCCCACAATATCTTCAGCAGAGATACATCTATTTCTTACCAATGATACAGTATTGAAATCAGGAGCCTTATTTACTAAGGAACAATTCATCACCACAGCAGAAGCTGTGATGCCAGAAGGTAAATAGTGGAGAGTTCACAGAGGTGGGCACAGCTGGCCCCACTCCTGTCTGTAGATACCTCAGAGCTTCTCTGACCCATGGTGGGAAATTATCCCTGTGGTGGTTTACTGACCATGGTGTGTCTGGGGCACATGAGTGTACTGGTTTTGCACAGCCTGGTTTTTGGTAGCAGGGGGGCCACAGAGGTGGCTCCTGTGGGAAGCTGCTGGAAGCTTGCTGGCCAAAACTGGACCAATGAGAGAGGCTGGTAACAGCTCTGTGATGACATATTTAAGAAGGAAATCACAACAAAGTCAGCTTTTTCTCCTAGTCAGAGAAGAAGAGGAGGTGAGAACATGTGAAGGAAAACGACATGGTGACACCAAGGTCAGTGGAGAAGGAGGGGCAGGAGGTGCACCAGGCACTGGAGCCGAGACTCCTCTGCAGGCTGTGGTGCAGACCATGGTGAAGCAGCTGTGCCCCTGCAGTCCCTGGGGATCCACGGGGGATGCAGAGATCCACCCGCAGCCCGTGGGAATCCACGGGGGATGCAGAGATCCACCCGCGGCCCGTGGGGATCCATGGGGGATGCAGAGATCCACCCGCAGCCCGTGGGGATCCATGGGGGATGCAGAGATCCACCCGCAGCCCGTGGGGATCCATGGGGGATGCAGAGATCCACCCGCAGCCCGTGGGGGAGGTGCCCATGCCGGAGCGGGTGGATGCCTCCAGGAGGCTGTGAGCCCATGGGAGAGCCGGTGGAGGGAGAGAGCCCTTGCTCCCAGGCTGGAACAGCCTGTCCTTGGAGGACTGCAACCCATGGAAGTGACCCACACCACAGCAGCTTTGGGAGGATTGTCTGCCTATGGAAGAGTCTCACATTTGCAGCAGCTGTGGTGGGAGTGGACCCACATTTGCAGCAGCTGTGGTGGGAGTGGACCCACGCCGGAGAAGTTCACGGAGAACTGTGTCCCGTGGGAGGGAGCCCATGGCCTCACAGGAGGACTCCTTTCCTGGGGCAGCAGATGAAAATCTCGGTGATGAAAATCTGATGAATTGACCAAACACCCACGCCCTGTCTCCCTGGACTGTCGGCGGGAACGGGGGAGGGGCTGAAGGGAAAAAGTTGTTTTAAGGTCTTATTTTACGTCTCGTTATCCTCCTCTGATTCTGTTAGTAATAAATTTCACTTTGCAACCTTAAATTGAGCCTGTGTTCCCCTTGAAGTGTTTCTCTCTGTCCTTATCTCACTCATGAAACTGGTGTTAATTTTTTTTCCCTCTCCGCTGCCCAGCTGTGGCCGGGGAGGGTGAAAGAGCAACTCCCGTGGGTGCCTGGCGATGGGCCGGTGCCAAACCACGCACAGGGAAACGGATGGTTCACCCTTGACGGTTCATGCCCGTCACCAGGACACCGGGGGCAGGAAAACACTGGCAGTTCTCATGATGAACCCAAACCACACCGGGCACCTCTGCGCCCGGCGTGTGTTTAAGGTGTACAACCTCGTCCCGAGCGAACTGGTCCCGGACAGTTTATAAGGACTGTAACACAGGAAATTAACCTGCAGCCCTTAGTGCCGCCTGCAGTTTGGCCTCTGAGGTTTTAACCCCGGTGCCCGCGGGCGGGACAGGAACGGCACGCCGCGGACTGGGGGTCACGCGTAGCCCTGTCACCGCGCTCCCGACAGGAGCACGGACTAACAGAGCCCAAGGCAAGGCTCGGCGAGACGGGCGCTGGCTGAAGCTCCGGCCCTCTGAGGGGTCCACTCCAGCGAGACGAGGCTCGCTCTGGTCGCCGCGACGGTGACGGAGAGGATGGAAGGAGCCCCGTGCGGCCCCGGCCGTGCTGCGCGGGCACTGCGGGCGTCAGGGGGCCGCGCACCATTGCCGGGCTCTGCTGCGCCGGGCCGGCCCCGCTCCCGCCCTCCCGCCAATGACGGCCGAGGCCGTCACCGCGCTGCGTCACGGCGCGGCCGCCAAGATGGCGAAGGTGTCGGAGATGTACGACGTGACTTGGGAAGGTAACGCCGCGCAGCCGGCGGTCCCCGCCCGGGGCAGGGGCTGTGCCCGGCCCGACTGGCCCCCGGCCGTGGGGAAAGGACGGCGCTCCCGGAGCGCGGCGGGCTCGGGCCGGCGCCGGGCGGCCGTACCCAGGCCTGGGGAACAGCAGCGAGGGGCGGCGGTTCTTGCGGCCGCCCGGCTCCTCGGGCTGTGGTTAGCCGGGCCGCAAAAGCGGCGACCTGTGCTCGGCCCTTCGGTGCCCGCAGGTCCCGGACGGTGCCGCGCACCTGGCCTGGAGTGTCCCGCGCTGCCCCGTGCGCGGCGGGCCAGCCTCCCCTCGCCTCCGCTCCGCGGGGACCGGCCCCGCGTCTCCAGAGCGCGGTGGGGCCGCTGCGTCGCCGCTTGCCGGCCTTCTCCCCCTCGGTACAGCGCTTGCCAGCAAAAACGGTCTCTTGGCAGGGTCAGCAGTTCGCGTCATAGTTCATCTTTTGGTGAACTAAAAATTTCCTGATACTCTCGTAAAGCTCGTTCATAAGCATTTATGGGGCAACTTCAAGAAGGTCTGAAGTGACACAAGTTTTTGAGAATCCCACCCTCCGGGTCTTTACAGCTTTCGTGTCTGTTCGATCAAAGTGGTGATTTATTTTTCATATAGCAGTACTGTCTGAGCTTTATTTGACATTCTCAGTGGTTATTTTTCCATAACCGGTATTAACATGTGAGCTCAAGACAACACTCAAGCCCTATCAAGAATCCTCAGTCTCCTATCAAGAATAAATGAATGGTTTATAGTAACAGTTTTGGCCATAAAGGGGGAACCTTTTGCTATGTACTATGCACTGCAAACATTATAGTGTAGAGAAGATAATGCAGAGAGAAGTTGTGTGATATTGGGTTTTCATTTATATACTGCCAATCTGAGAAGAAATAATTGAATAGTAGAAAAATTCCCCAACCATGAATTAATGCTTAATTTGATTTTGTAGCTAACAGGAGGAACATTGGGAAAACTTTGATTAACCATTCTTTTATATCTCTTGAATGAACGTATAGTACTTGTGAAGCTCAGCTTGGGTGGAGATCACATAGATCATTACTGGTATTACTGTGCCCTAAACCACCTTGTGTTGAAAAATTTTCCAGTTTTTATTATTCTTGAGCAGATGTTGTTACAAAATGCAGGGACTTAGTTGTTTGGGAGTTTTTTGTGGGGTTTTTTTGTGTTTGTTTTCTCCAGTTGTTCTTGGGTATCGATGACAGAAAAGAGCAATGAGGTTTTTCACAGGGTGGGTAACACACATGGGGACATTTCTCTGTACATTTAGCCCTAGATTGTTTTGGCCCAGAGTATTGCAGAGTGTATGCTTATACTCTAACATGGAGGCCAGGTGTAGGATATTCAAGCGTGCTGCTGGCCTTGGCTAATTCAAACTGAGCTGAGCTTCCTACTCTTAGAAATAACCTTCACATTTTGTTTCCAAGAATTCTGATTGACAGTTGTGGCATTGTGATAGGTGTAGAGTTTTGTATATGGGTGGGGTTGAATGAGAAATTTCAGTGGACCAGCTTATGAGTTTTATCATATCAACTTCTCAGTCTCTTTAAGTATTCATCCAGATGAAAGGCTGGTGTGTGTTGGTACAAGGGACTGTCTCCACTTTGGAAGCATGCATTTGAAAAATTCAGGTTTTTTTTTTTCTCTATTGCAAGATATGAAAAGTAAAGTGAAGAAGGAGGCCTGCAACAGACCATGCAAGGGCTCTTCTTAAAAAAGATAGCTTTTCTCTTTTCTCTGTGTGAGCTTAAACAGATCCTGGTGCAAGGTAGCTTTTCATAGGTGAGGTGATCCAGCAGTGTTGTGACCTAGTTCCTAGCAAAGTACTTGAACACAGTTCTAGGAATTTTACGTAGCTCATTTTCAATCTCTTTAAAATGCCTAATTTATGTGAAACTAGGTGTATGGCTCATAGGTCCTTTATATACCCAGGCTTTTCTAAACAAGACATTTTATACTTATATATTGCTTAAAGATGAATCTGCGATTCAAGGTTAGGAAAGAATAACATGTAACAAATGAAATAGTTTGTACCTTGCTTTGCTTTTCACTCAGGTTTTTTGAGACAGAGGTAGGAGTTAAATTTTTTTAGGTACCTGCATGGCACAGGTGGTTAGGAAAGATAACTGAAAATAACTGTGTTTTCCAGTGTGGGAGCTGTGGTTTTATTTTTTATTTCTTTACTTTGTTGCTGTATCTCAAGCTTTAAAGTGTGTTTGGAAATCTGTGTAGCAGGAAAACATCTTCTTTAACTTTATGGTCTTGATCAATGGACTTAGATGATCCAATACCACAGAGTGCTGTGGTATTGCAAGAGAAGCTTATATGTTGTTATGTAACATATATTTTACAGTAAAGCTGACTTACTTGACAGAAAGATGGTATGTTCCTCCTTTCTTTTTTTTTTTTTAATACTGGTTTTAACTATTCTAGAGAAAATGGCATATTTCCTGCTTCCTTCATAAATAAAAGAATTAGAAACTATGTGGAGTGGCAGGAAACCAAAAACTGGGTGTAGCCATGGAGTGTGATGTAGTAGGTTTGCACATCACTTGGTACCTGGTGATGTGTAGCCTCTTACTTTCTTAAGCTATGTAGAACTTTGTAGAATAAATATTTACCATATTTTCAGTGATACATTAAAGATTAATTTGTCCCATGAATGGAAATATTTAAAAAAGCAAACACCTGTGTAACTTCATTTTAGCAGCAGGTTTTGGAGCACACAAGTGTAAAATTAGCACAATCTGCAAACAAGCAGCAGTTCAAGAACTATTAAAATAACAATTGACTTTCACAGAAAATGCATCTGACATATTGTCAGAATTGGACAGAATGAGCCAGATTTTCTTTTCTTAACCTTGCACAGCAGCATAATGGTGTTAAACACATCACATGCTGCTAAAGGGAAGCAGTGCCTTTCAGCTGTCACTTCTGAGCTTTTTGGGGATCTTTGAGTGCTGTCGCAGCAATTCTTGTTTCAGTCAATAACTCTCTTAAGTGGTTATCAAAATGAAAAAGAGAAAGGAATGGCATATTCTTTAAACTAGCTTTCTTTTGATATAAATTGAAAAAGTGAAGAAGTATTTTTTTTAGATTTTTATTAGCTCTGAATGCCCCTTGCCTAAGTTCTCTGTAGCATTAAATTAGTACTGATGTTTTCTGTATTAAAAATTGCATTCCTTCAATAGTGGCACTTTAAAAGTTTTCATTACCATGTTAATTTGAGACTTTTTTCAAGGAACTCTTCGTCATTTTTGAAAATATCATAAAATGCTTTATAAGATGAAGTTTACCAGTGTGTGTATTTCTTGCAAATATGTGTATCTGGGAATACATTATATGCAAAAAGAGAAAATTCCAAATGAATTTAAAAACTGAGCACTTCTATTTTTAATGTTAGGTGGCAAACTTTCTTTCTGTGACTTGGAAAATGAATTCATACTGAGTTTGTATGGGAAGTCTCTAGGAAATAGGGAACAGCCTAGCATTTCATCTCTGTAATAATCTATGTGCAATTAGCTATTTCTGATGTGGTTTTGTTGTGTTCTGTGCTGTATTTGCTTTCTTTTAGCTATTCCTAATTTTCAGTTGTAATCAAAAGGTCAGATCAGTTTACTCTGGGTTTTATATATGGATTTTTGGGATTACAGCAGGCAAAGGTGAGATGCTGTTTTGTTTTTTTTTTAATTGAAGCCCTTTTGAAAGCAGAGTTGCCAGGATTAGAGGCAGCATCTGCAGCACCCAGCGTGATGCCTGTGCCTCTGCCTGCACCTGCCAGATGAGAGTGCACAGAGGTGGGCTGTGGGTGAAGATTTGGTATGTGTAACAGAGATGTCAATATACAAATGAGCTCTAGAAATATAATGGCTCTGGGCTCCCTGAGTGACTGCTGTGGTAGCAGCAATATACCAAGGTGACATTCTGGAGTTGGCAGTTTCTGCCTGCCCCAAAGTGATGATTTCCTTCATTTCATCAGGTGCTTTTAGATATCAAGGACTTGAAAACTATGATCCCATTCATCAGTGAAAGTGTAGGTACTTATAGGAGGATTATTTCATATCTGGTTGCTCAGGCCATATGAGCTGACACCTTACTGGACACAAAAGTGAAACATAGGTTGTGTCCCTTGGCTTGCGTGGTTTTGGGCAAAAGCCAACATTGTCCCAAGTGCCTCCCTTCCCTAGACCTTGTAACATTTTGATTTACATGTGCCATGGGTGCCAATTTAGAAAACCCCAAATCTAAAACAAATCTATCAATTGCTTAGCACCAGCCTATTGGTGAGAGGAGAAGTTGTAATTAAAACATGGACGTTTCTTTACCTTACTTGTTTTTTTCTTCTAAAATCTGTAATTGTGTCTCCCGAGCCTTGTATTATGTTTCCGAGACTCAAGTTATTATTGTCTGGCTCTTTTGATAGATTTCTTAGTAAAAAATTCATTGTTTGACAACACTGTAAAAAGACTTGTATAATTTTACTGCACTTCTTAGTGTTTTCTTTCTTCTACCTTTTACATAAAATTCAGTATTTTTAAAATCAATAAATATTTCATTCATCAGCTGATGTTCTATTCTTTGTCCTAGAAGTTTTTTTTTTCCATTGCTGTAAATGTTGGACTTGTGTGATGAATGGTAGGTGTACCTTCTGTTAATACATAATTCTGACACTGTTCCATTTGGAATCACACTGGAATGAAGGCATTGATAATTTCCAAGTAAATGAGTGGGTGGAAATCAGACAGCTTATTTATTTTTAGGCGTTTAGCTTGTCAGCTTTTTTGAATGTTTGTGTTCACTCACATTCTTGCTGTCTAACGTTGAATTTCCAGGGACCATCATATGTCTAGAACCATTCAACTTTGCCCATGCATATGAAATGTAACCCTGTGGTGGTTTTGGTTGAATTTCAAAACACAAAATGTAGCACAATAACAGTCTTATGAGCGATCTGAGATCACTTCAGGTAGATGGAACAACTTTTAGTGCTTAATTTTTAACTGTCATTTACATTAACTCTGTGTTTTGAAGTGCAAGAAAAACTGACAGTGTTTAGATCTATTGCTGTATTTGCTTTTCCAGATGTTGTAAAGTTTTAGAAAAATACTAGCAACAGTTATCCTGGTACCCTCTTATTACTAAAACCACTATCTAGTAATGAAAACTATTTTCCTTAAGTTTTCTCAAAATTTGTTCTTGTGTATAGAACAGCTATACTTCTATAAATGTATGTGCATATAAAATCACATTCTTAGCAATTTCCTGGTCTAGAGGATAAATAAAGCTCAGGCAAGGTAGTGTTCTCTACCTGACTTAATGAATGTCTGCTCTCTTGGAGATCTTAAATGTACTCTTGAAACAAAAATCTTAATAATAAAATAAACTGTCATTTCTACCTTGCCTAGCTAAGGCAGTGATATTTTTCATTACTTTGGACACTTCCCTGGTGTAGAAAGCCTTCACATCCATGTGTACTTTTACTGAAGCTCCTTTCTCTAGGAATGTGTAGATTCCTTTCAGAGGGGAAGTTCTAATGTTTTTTCTAGAATTTCAAGTGAAAATTTATCCACCTGTAGCAGAAATGCAATTTTAGTGTTGTCTGTAGATGTGTGAAACTAATCAGAAGTCTCTTGTAGCCTATCTTATCTAAAAACGGATAAACTTTATTATTTATTGGATAACTGGGTATACATTTTTTTTACTTCATGTGTTACTGTCCCTTCTGAGAGACTGCTAACTTAGAATTTGAATTGATAATGTTAGAGCATGAGCACAGTTTGGGTAATAAGGTTTCAGAGATCTGTTCTCTAGTAATTTTTTAATTTTAGTAGAAGTAACTTTCATAGCTCTGTTGCTCTTTAATCCCATTCTTCAGATGTGTGTCTTATCGATCATATGCACATTCAAATGCCATTACTATCTGAAAATCTCATTTTTGCCCCTTTGCCCACAGATATGCGTGATAAAATGAGGAAATGGAGGGAAGAAAACTACCGAAACAGTGAACAGATAGTGGATGTTGGAGAAGAGTTAATTAATGAATATGCATCTAAACTTGGAGATGACAGTAAGTAAACAATTACTATTTTAAAAATTTCCTTGTCTGATTTGGTATTCTTTTTTCAGTCTGTATTTTAGTTAAAGCCTTTACATGGTTTTCCAGTATGTGCTGATGTTGATGAAGTATATATTGCTTTCTTAGTCTAATAGGCTTCCAGAATTCCAAGAGCTTATTTCTTTCCCAAATGTGGGCTGCAGTGAAAACAGCCCTAAAAATTACATGATAGAACTGTTAGCTTGCTATATTAGTATTTAGGCTGCAATGTGAAAACTTAATTTGAAACTATTACTAAGATACTATTCGCGTGATTTTCTGTTCTTCAACACTGTGACAGAAATTGAAGCAAGTCCTCACAGGGATCTGTCTAGAACATGGCAGTTATGATGTTGAAAAATAGAGAATTAGAGCTTTTTTGCCTTTCAAGATGTCAGAAAGTACTTTGGCACTAAAAGCACTAAATTGCTTAAATAAGTTGTTGATTAATTCCAGCAGTTTCTTAATTTGTTCGTGTTTCAGCCATGATTTGTGGGAGTAGAAGAGGAAAAATGTACAGACAGAATTAATTAATCCTGTTTACATGATAGGTGCTTCCTATTACCTTAAACAAACCCCAAACCAATTATCTGCATTTTTTGTCTCTTTGTGTCCAGTTTGGATAATTTATGAGCAGGTGATGATTGCTGCCCTGGACTGCAGTCGAGATGATTTGGCATTGGTAAGTTTTCAAGCTGACTTTTCTTTCACACTGTATGTATTCATCCTGGGTGTCTCTTCCAGATAGTTTTCTGGAAGTTACAGCATACTCTGAACTCCATAGCTTGGACTGGTAGAAAGAATATTTATCAAGAAATGCACAGCTATGAAGAAACTGCCACCCCCTACCTCCTCTGAAGCATAACTTTTGTTTAGACAGATCACATCTCTTCCAATAGCCATGAAAATATTTACAGCTATTCTGGTATGGGCTAAAGGTCAAGAATAATATTGAAGTTGCCATATTGTACAGAGAGTGTTTGTTTATTGAAAACCTCTCAAATTATATTGGTTTTCTGAATGTTTTGAGGTAAAATGACCCATCTTACATATATTATATGTCATGTTGGCTACCCTGAAAGAAAGTCACATATTGGAGCAGGTCTTCAAGATTAATAAGGAGCTGTGCTGCATAGTGTGTAAGGAAAGGCTGGGAGAGCCGTATTCAATTTTAGGAAAGCCAAGAAGGGATTTCTGAATACTGATGGGAAGGAAGGTATAAAGAAGGTGGGCACATATTTTCATAGGTGTGCAACAAAAGACAAGTGTGAGACATAAGCTGTAACAAAGGCAATTCCACTTACATATTATGAAAAATTTAGTGAATTCTTTATGACAAGTGGCACATTGAAGCTGTGGAATCTCCTTTGGAAATGCTTAAAAATAGATTAGGATATGGCTCTGCACTCCCTTGGAAACTGGCTCTGTTTTCAGTGGGGATTTGGAGCAGGTGGCCTCCAAAAGTCCATTGCAATCCAAGTTGTTTGGTAGTTGTTGGTAAAAATATTGTTAATGGATATTTGAGTCAATTTGTATGCAAATTTATTTGAATGATATAAATAAGAATTGAGATAGAATTAACTTATTTTGAACTATAACCTGTTTGTTAAATTAAAAACAAAAAAAGCCATTGAAACAAACAAAACAACCCAGTCAGCTTAGCTGATCCTTGAAAGGCAAAATCAGGAAGAGGCAAAAGTTTGTGTTACAGGAAAATGTTAATAATCTTTTCACTGCTCTTTCACAAAACAGTCAGAAGAAAACAGAGGCTTACCTTGAGCCCTAAAAGCCATCAAGCTTGAACTTATTCTAAGTAAAAACCCATTTTCAGTGCTCCAGGTCTTTCACTGCAACTACTCCTCCAGTGCCTTGTTCTCCATCAGATGACAAAATACCTCATAAAATCTTTGAGGTTTGTGTGATGTCATTTGGGTAAAACTTAATTCAAGGGGGGTGAAGATAAGCAAAACTAGACAGGGTTATCTGGCCATATATATATATATATATTAAAATGGAATATGCTGGAAAATGCAGTACAAGACTTTGAACTTGCGAACCCACTGAAGTTCCCTCTCTTTTGTCCCTCAGAAGAAAATACTGTTGTAGTATAGCTGTTTGTTCAAACAAAAACAAATAGACTTACTGTTTAAATAAATACATTTCTGTGTCCTGATTTATATGTAAAACAGATTTGGTCTTTATTTTCAGGGTCTTTTAAAGAAGACTTTCACAAAATTGTTGATGGAGCCAGTGTTGAAAAATTGGTTGTGAAACGTTCTTTGTTTTTACTAACCCTTGCAGGGAGTTTAAATTTCAGTGTCTGCCCTTTAAGGAATATTGCTTGAGATGAGAGAATGCAACATTTTGTATGCAGCTTGGAAATGAGATTAAAAGCATAGGTGGAAACTTAGAGGATTTTTTTAAAATTTTATTGATTTACAATAAATAAGTAGTTAATTCGAACAAGTTAACATCATCTGTGGCATTTTACTAGAGCTGTAGCTCCAAAGTAGACAAACAGCTTTGGCTCTTCTGGTTTTTTAGCAGTGAGAGTTTGACAGCTGGGGGGGGGGATAGGTATTGTCTACTCCAAATGAGAAGCTGAGGTAGTTTTCAGAGTAATTTCTCTGACTTTTGTCTTTTGTTCTTCTTTCCTTAATTATTACTTTGTCCTTTCTGTCCTGCACCAAAAACCCATGTGTAATGCATGCCGCTGCTGTGGCCAGCAAGTTGGTTCACACAGGTGGTTTAGTGCAATCACCTATTGTTGGCAGCACTTGCATTACCAGTGTTCTACCTGCTGAAGTCCAGGTTTGTATTTCTCTGCCTTTGTCTGCTGTTTCAAAAGTCGGAAAGCAAATGAAGTAATGTAACTGAGAGAATTCTTAGAGAATATCACAAATAGATTACTGACATGGTGCAAAACCAGTCCTCAATAAAATAAACTATTATGGTCATTACAAGTCCCAGTTTAAAAAGAGGACATTCAGTGCTGCTGAGTCCAGAACGTTTTGAAGATATAGCTGGTGTAGTTTATTCATGTGCTTTTGGTTTTATCTGTTACAGTGAGTTGTTCATGACTTTCCTACAACTTTTCCTGTCATTTTATTGTGTCTCATAGTTTAATCTACAGTTTATTTTGGCCCCTGGACTGCTGCATTCGGTTGAGTAATGGTTGTGTAGTGAGATCTAACGTGAACAATTCTCATCTTGCATTACTTCTGCACTTGAGCACTACTTTCATATTATCGGTGAGGATTTTTTAGATGTAAAAGTCCCTCTACAGATTGTGGACTTTAGTATGGTAAATGTTATATTTTTTTTTTATTTGTACTTTTTTTTGAGAAAAATAGTACATGTGTTTATAAAAATCACTATCCTTCAGGGTTCACTGATCACTAGACCACAGGATGGATTTATTGTATGCAAAAGTTCTTTTTAAAGTCTACAGGGTTGTCAGGGTTTTAAAAGCTGGAGTTTTATGTAAATTTTTCTGTCTCCCAAGAATGGTCAGAGATTAGTTCTGTCACCATGTAACATGCTGCTAAGTACACATAGATGACTACACATTATGACTAGAGCAACAGCAGTTCACCTAGACATCACTCAAAGTGCCAGTAAGCAATTTCTGTGCTAAACCCGAGCCTTTCTATGTGAAATTGCATTGTAAGAATCTTGGTCCTTTGCAAATTAAGTTGATTGTGATGAAAGTAGTCTGTTCTTGCTTGAGGCTAAGCATCATAACTTTTGTCACTTGTTGCTTTTCTCTCTCCTATTTGTTAGCATCTGGGAGAGATGAGAATATTCCTCTTGTATGTGCTTTAGCAACCTGTTTATCTACAAAAACAAAGAGGGATCCTACTGATTGCTACTGATTTGTACTTTGTCCTTTGACCAGTGGATTTGATGAGATGGAGCAGATTATGTAGATAGGCCTCTGCTAGAACCTTATGTCTGAAGAACAAGTTTCTAAGTTGTGTTACATAAATAAATGCCTGGAAGAGGATTCAGTATGAAGCTTTTAACGTGATGAACACTTCTGGTCTGTTTTGAAAGCCTTGGACTGTCCTGCCTCCCACTGTCATGAGTCAGCTAGGAACTTCACAAGGCTATTTAGCCACATCCATGATATGGTTATGAGTTAGCTTGCTGTGGGGAAGTTGTGACTCAGTCCCTCTACCAAATGTCCTCTGCTAATCCAGAAAAATCTGCCTGGATGAATTCTTTTTATCCAGGCCAGGTGTCTCATTGATTTCAGGAGTTAAAAATTATGCCTTGTCTGCCAGCAGTCTGTACCCAAGCCAGTGGCAAACATTTTCTTTGGATTTCAAAGTTTTATTTTAAAAATAAACACAGAGCATTGTGTTAGTATAGTTTGTTCCATTGTGAAATATCCATTTATTAAAGAAGTATCACTTAAGCTCTCACTGTCTTTGTTTTTTTTTACTGTCTTGTGTTACTGTGGGGCAACTAAATAGAATTCAAGTTTTAATAGTGTCAGAGCTGTTTTAGTAGGTGAGTGTAATTTTCTGGGCAAATAACTATTTCAAAGGGGGCCTGAGCATCTAATGCCCTGTATGGAAGATACTTCTTAAAATCAGTCATCTAACATACAGAATTTCAGTTTACAGCCTTCTGTTTGTCAATGCATTTTATTGCTTCTTTCAAAAATTGGTATCTACTTTTACTCAGAACTGGCATGGCAGGTAATTGAATTATGAGCAAAGGCCTTTTTTTCTGGTTTTTTTTCTTCTTCTAGCTTCTGTGAAGATAATTATATTCACAATAGTATTTCTGGTTCTTTGTGTAGTTTTGTCTTCAGGAACTGAGGCGGCAGTTTCCTGGAAGCCACAGAGTTAAACGATTAACTGGAATGAGATTTGAAGCCATGGAAAGGTAAAACCTGAATTTTAAAAAATGTACTTTCTCTCTGAACAAAATGTTTGCTCTTTCTTAAAAAAAAATATTCAGCCATTGCAGAATGCAAAATAATGCTGGGCAGTTTCTTTATAGGAAATAACAGTGTCCATAATCATATCAAGATTTTTATTGCATTTTTGCAGGTACTGTGCAGCATTTTATTTTTGCAGTCTTCCCCATCAGAGATCATAGATTAGAAGGATCTCTTACTTCACAGCATAAACCATTATACAGTAGAACACTGCACAGTTTTTTTGCAAATTCTGTGAGGCCTAGGTTTCATCTCAGAGAGCTAGAGCAGCATATGAAAATCAGGCCCACTTTTTTGCTCCAGCTGTTTCTTCTCTACTCCTGATTACTGCAGGGTGTAGCTCTTTACCCTTGTTTCCTAAATGTGGGTAAATGAACTTAAAAAGTATTAAATCTATAGAGTTTTTTACAGAAACAAATCAAACAACAAACAGAGTAGAATGGCTGAACATAAAATTCAGACTGACCTTTTTGAAATATCATTTAGAAGGCTTATAACATACTAAGTTCGACAGAAATTACTAAAATAATGAACAGATCAAAACTTTGCAGCTTTCCAAATGAATGACCTCAGGACTTGAGGATTAACTTTATTGTACACATTTCTCTTTGGATACATCTTTGTTGTCAACATTCTGTTCCATAGCACTTGTCTTGGGTGCTAAGAATGACTTCCAGTGCGTTTGAATGATAAGAAATCTGTTCCATGCCACGTTTTGCACAGAGTTGGTGAGTTTGGAGCCTTTGGGCCATCTTGATAAAAAGGAATTGGAAGCACTGCCTAAATGCTTTTTTTAAAGATATTTACTTAGCATATGTTCTTCATCCATTACATTCTTGCAAAATTAGCTTTGAAAATGGTATTTGATATGAAACACTGATAAATGTCCATTGCTTGGATCAACGAGAGTGAATAAATGGACTCCATTCACAGGAGCTGTCTCAGGGCAGCCAGATGCTCTGTTTCACACTCACTTTATATAAGGTGCATATTTTTGAAGAATTTCCATTAAACTTAGCTCTCTTGTCTTCATTTTATATAGGGTAGGAAGACAGAGAATTACAGCAGTTTTTCCCCCTTCCTGAAACCTATTCAGAAGTACAATGGATCATAATTCTGTTCAGGCTTATGTGTCTGCATTAAAGATGTTACTGCATGGGACCTGATGTTTGTGGGAGATAAGTGCTGCACAAACATCATGTGTGGTTTCACCAATGAAGCACTATTGAGATCAGAGTATCAAGGAACAGAGAAAGTAACAAAACCCGAAGTTTCATGTCCATGGGTTTTCTCTAGAAGTCAGAGCAGAAAGAGGTTTCAGCTTGGGGTTGTTTTGAACAGGAACCCATTTGCAGGTGCTCTAAGCCTTGCCCCAGAGGAGTGTGTCTGTCTCCCCCGACTAAAAAAGAAAGATTTAGGCTGCAGGCATCATGTTTCACTTCAATTGAAGTGAATTTACTAAGTTCTAAGTGACTTCTAGGATCTAGGGAGGATCCTGCTTTTCCCGACAGGAAAAGGAAACAGCGAAGACCATCCCCATAGACTGAGACATCCTGTAGACACTTGATAATAAAAAGAATAACGTTCTGGAACTTCACCATGTAAAGCTGGGATTATGGCCATTAGATTCAGTCTTCTAAATGCATTTGACAAAACAGCAACTAACAGAGAATGCAAATACAGCATTTTACAGCACATCTGCTCAAGTCTGTAGCAGTTTCCTTCTGCTTGTTTCTGCTTTTGGGCTTCCTTTCACAGTAGTTCCTATACCTTAGGGTAGCTGGAGTGGACAGCTGAGCTCTGGTAGCGTCAGCAGTGCTTAGGGAACAGGGCAAGTATGAGTAAATGAGTGTCTAAGGTGATGTCTAAGAAATGTGAGTGTCAGAAGTCAGTCAGTAGTATCTCTGACAAACTGCTTGTCAAACTACACATGAAGACACAATGTATGCCCTAGTTCTGTGGCAATAGCACAACAGCTGTGTAGTGAAATGTGGTTTGGATTGAATTATTTCATTTATTGGGACTGTGTACACAGCTGACTGAACACACAGAGCTGTTTCCCAGAAGGTTTGAAGGTTTGACGTGCTCATAGCACCGAAGTAACCTGTTTCAAGCACACTTCAGATAGCAGAATTAATTTGCTTCAGATAGCAAATAATAAAAGTGGGAAATGGAAAATGGTGGAAAATATTTTCTGTTAAGATTTATGTTATAATCTGTGGTAGACTCCTATAGGAATTTTTCCAGTTTCCTGTATGCAGCTACTTATACTTTTTAAAGTCACAACAGAAGGAACTTTACATGAAGTTTTAAGTTACAACAATGAAGTGGAATGTCATTATTTTGGATGGCTTTTCAAGTTTTGGAGTTTCTGTTTCTTGGGAGATGTGAAAGGAGGAGTAGGGATGTGATGTTTGAACCTATTCAGTAGACATTAAGAGAACAGGCAGGAGAGCGAGATGCTGGGTGTAAAATATCCCAAGTTGCTGCTGAAACAGTATTTCATGAAGCAATTTCCATGTATTTTTCTTAATTGGTGACAAAAAATACTGCTGTTCATACTAAGCACTCTCAAAATAATTTTCTATAAATATAGTTTGCTTAGTATATGTGTATTATACTTCAGTACAAAAAATGCAGGAGGGTTATTAGCTATTGCAGGGAGAGTCAAAACGCCAGAAGTTCTGTATTAGCAGAAATAAATGTGAATGATTTCTTTGTACAGGTATGATGATGCTATCCAGTTATATGACAGAATTTTACAGGAAGATTCAACTAATACAGTAAGTTTAAAAGATAATTCTAAACTGCACTGATGTGTTGTTTGAAATTGTGACTATATTTTCTGTTTCAGTGTGGGAAAATGTATCTGTATTGCTGTATTTGTTTCCTTTAGTTTGCTGTTCAAATAACCAATGATTCCCATCATTTCATGATGGGAAGATGTGACCTAATACCTTCTTAAACACTGATTTTAGGAGACAGATTATAACTGGTGATCTTTCCAGAAGTCTTAGTGGTGTTTAGAGCTGGGCCTTTCAACTTTTTCATTTCCCAGAATATAGAGTATTTAAAAGACTAATATATAGTCTGTCACGTCTTCTATGCTTCTGTGCGTAATCTTACTTAGGGATTAACTGTTAATACACTCAGGTAGTGCTTGAATAGCAGGTATTTTGATTCATGTCTGGGACATTTTACTAGCTCTTGAATCAAAATGCATAAAGCATGCCAATTGTGTAAAACAAAATGTGAGACAGACTGTACTGTTCTTCTAAGCATTTTTTGAATACTGTTTGTAAAAGCCACTGTGAGCTTTTCGCTGCCAAAATAGAAGTCTAGAGAAACTCGTAGCAATATATTTTCATTGATGTTTTTTCTCTCAAGGATAAAACTTGAAATATGAAGAAACTATGGAGTTTCAGATTTTTTATAACATAGATATTTATTGGAAAATAAAAAAAATATTATTAATCATTGAGGGTGTGTTACTTGGTTTTGAGGAGCTGTCTGTTGGGTAAACTTCTGGGTAAATGTAATACTTGGGCTATTTCAGATGTTTTGGCAATCTCATGTTAATCTTCCTAGGTGTTGGTTGAACCTCTACCTTTCCTTGGTCAGCTTATTTTATGTGGTCTGCTATTCAGGAGGGGAAAATCCACAGAAACATTTTAAGCACTTGGACAACAGTGATAGGTTGAAGTCTGTCTGTTAGCAGTGCTAGAACTCACAGATTTTAAGCAAGGGTAAAAGGAACTATTTCAGTTCTTCACTGTTCTTTTTCACTCTCCCTGAAACAGTAGAGCTTAATAAGTTTTGAGCACAAGATGCATAGGTGTCCATTGTAAATGGTGGATTTTATCGCTGCATGGCCCAGAGAGTTTGACACGAAATCTTCGGAGTCGTGTTGGACCAATATGGAACCCATTTGCAGTGAAATCACAGAATGGGTCACCTTGGTACATGTTTTATGAACTTTTGCTGACACCAGTGGAAAATGGAGCATCATATTACAGTGACTTTTATGGACCACAGATCTTTGAAGTATACATTTTTGGCAGTTTTACTTTTTGCTCATCTCAACATAGCTAACATCATCTGAGGGCTTTGTTGGATGGCATTACAAAACAAAATTATATTTAAATAAGTAAAATGCATGATTGTTCCTTTATTTGAATTTTCTCCATAACCAAATCATAAAGATCCATAAACTTGTAATATTTAGAAGCAGATTTGTAAATACTAGAACAGTTGTGTGGTTGAAGTTCTTAATTCTAATAATAGAATTGGAGAATGTTAAATGCAAAGGAAAGTTCCTTGCTATATAACTAGAATTGGTTGGGAGACGCTTGCATGTCAAGAGTGAAAGTTAAGTAAAAAGTTTTCGTAAGTTGTCATGTGTAGATTTCTTTGTGTCATTTACCTGTTAATTATTTCCATGCACACATGTGGCTGCTGTAGGAAAATAAATATTTCAAGATTTTAGAAAAGCAACTGTTGCTGAGTTTGTCTTGGCATTCACCTAACTTTATAGAAATTTCTTCTGGTCTGCTGACACATGGAGTTGCTTATATGCATTAAATGTTTTGGCAAGTGCTTTAAGTGAAACATAGACATTTGTTCACACAAATCATGTAAAAATCATACCTTGCATTGACTGATCAAAAGGTAGCATGGAAAAAGATTTTTCCAAAAAATTACTTCTTTTAGACACATAGCAGAATTTTCCATTATAAAAAGTAAAGTTTGAACTCAAATTATGTAATGGACATTTACACTTTCATATGAAGTTTTGTTGCTGAAATTACATTAACAGTAATTGCTTAATTTCTTAGGATAGAATTCAAAATAGTCTTTATTTTTTAAAATTGGATAATCTCTAAGTTTTCTCTCACCCTGCACTTACTTTCTGAAAAAGATGACTCATTTGACAGTGGAACAGTGTTAATGTCACCTCAGAGATTTTGTTTCATTTTTCAAAGCATGTAGATGTTGAGTCATAGTCCTTTTTCTAAAGACTTTAATGAATGAAATGTGACTCTTGTGAAATGCATAGCTTGCATACATTTCAATAGGGTGAGAATTAGAATCTTTTCCATTCTTGTCTGTTTTGGTTGAAATGATGGCATGTTAGAGGTCAAGCTGACAGATTCCTCTTATTAAGGCTGCATATTATTTTCTATCATAGGGCTCTTTTATTAATTAAAATTTCATGTAGTGTCCAATTGAAAATGTTTATAGTGATGCAGAACATTGACTGATTTGTTTGTAGATCTTCAGGTAAAATGCTTATTCTGTTTCTCAGAACAAAATAAAAGAGAGTTACTGGTTTTTTTAGTAATGTTGGTAGAAAGGGGTTTTTTGTTTGTTTTTGCTCTTTATGTATTTAATTGAGAAATCCTTATCTTGCTCTGCTTTGGAGGAGAACCTTTTAGTTAGCTAAATATTTTTAATCAGTTGGGCTCTTTTTGAGGTAGTCTGTTCAGCAGAGCAGAGAAGCTTGTTGATGAGAAAGGAAATTGATTTCATGTATTCAAGACTTAGATTGGTGTCTAACCTGCTCCTGTCATCCTGCAGTTTCTCTTGATTATTCAGCTCAACCATCAAGAAGATTGCAGAGCACTTGGTCAACACTGGGGAAAATGATATAAGGCACAAAGTTCTGCCTTAATTCTAATCCACAGAACCTGGAGTCTTTATTAGGATAATTCTTCAGCTGGTTTTCTTGCCACTTTTTCAACCAAGCTTTTCATGCAAGATGCTCTGTCTGCTTCCTTAGCTTAGAACATAGTGGATAGTCTCATTACCATCATGGGTTTAGTCATATAATTGTGTGAATGAGGAATTTAAAATTTTTGTAGTGAAGCAGTGTTCTCATCAACTCTATTGTTTATAGGAGTGTATGCTTATGGTCACATGCAGTTACCCTTTCTCTTATTATTTTGAGATTCTTTTTGTAGATGAGCTGGACATATTTCAGAAGAGGCAGAGAGGCAGAGGAGGTGGTTGAATACCTCTGGAAATCCAGAATACTGGAAGGATTCAGAGCAGTATCTTAGTACTTAGTGTCATGTAAATAGAAAGCAGTTATATACCATGAATATCTGAGTGCATCTCTTTCTGTGACTGTGCATTACTGCCATCTAGACTGTATAGGTAACCTTTCTTTCCCTACCTCCTTGCCTCCACTAAATAAGATGAGAATAATGAGCACTGAATTTGAGCACTGGATACCTGTTTATCACCTGAACTGTGATATTCCTTAAAACTGCTGCAGTAGCTGTGAATTAATTTTTAACAGGGACCTCCTGCGAAGATCTTGCAGCTTTGTACATTTATCTACAGCTTGCTCTGAGTTGCAAAAGGGAAAACTGCTCACCAAATGAAACATCTACTAATGTGCTGAATTTTCCAAGGTGACGTGTGTTTCCTTAAATATATTGGCCACACTGCCAGGAAAGACAGAACTAGACCTGAACATAGGTGTGTACAGTGATGGTTTTAAATGGAGTTGAAAAAGATAGCTTGGCACTGACTAACACAGGATGGAGTTGGTGAGAGTTGTGAAGAATGGCTGCTGCTACTTCAGTTAGTTCTCACTGAGGGCTCATGGGGAAGTTGGGAATGCACTATGTGGTCCTAAAAAAATGGAGTTTTTGCTTTTGACAGAGCATCATTTACCATTGCAGGGTAAATCTTTTTTTGCCTCATGTTCAGTCATGATCGGTGAAGTGAGAGAGCAGAATGCATTCCACCATTTGTCCCATGTTTTGTGTGCATAGCACTTTTAAAGGTTGATGGAGATTTTGTCTCTTGAAATTAAGTATTTGAGAGCAGAAGAGCAGCTGTACTGCAGTTGTGGCAAAAGTCCATTTTACTTGTCCTGGGTCTGGCTTTGACTTGTTGCAGATACCAGAAGTGTGTAAGAGCAGGGCAATGACAGTATGCTGTGGTCTGTTCTGCCAGTTTCTATTCATCTTCATGTTGCAGTTTTCCTGTGCCAGAAGTGTTAACTCTGTTTTTAATAGCTTTTCATGAAATTTCTGCTTGGATGTATTTTTAAACTTGCTTAAATTTGCCATGCCTACATCTACAACATAATTGAGAAATTAAATGTAATTTTTTAATGGATTGTGTAAATCTCCCATTTGTGGTTTTTATTCCATTCCCACACCTTCAATCTAACAATTTTATTTAATGACTCTGAATTTGCCTGTTACTGTCAGCAGTTGTTTTCACTTTATTAATACTCATGACTTTAGGGATTTTTTGCACTTTTTTTCCCTCTAAGCTAAGAAGTCCTAATGTGCAGCTGTTCTTGTTGCCATTCTGTGCCTCAAAACTCTGCTACTGTTCTCTGTGTCATTTCTGTGGTTTTTCCTATATTTGGGTGAGAAATGAGATGACTGAATGGCAGTCAGTATTAAAAATGCAGGAGCATTATGGACTTAAAAATAACAAAGTGATGCCATGGATGTATGCATCCGTAAGTGATGTCTCTTCTGTATTCTTTTCTGATCATTCCAATATCACAGTATTTTCAGTTTGGGGTTTTGGGGCAGGGTTTTTTGATTTTTTTAAGATGGTTTCTGAACACTGAATTGGTGTTTTATATAACTGTTTATTGCAAGTCCAGTATTTCCCTCCTAACCAGACAAACTCAGGTTTTTTGTGTACATTAAATTAGTATTGTTTGACCTTATATGTAGCCATTTATGTAGATTAAATTTCACGGGTCGTTTTATTGTGCTGGTAAAAGTATTCATTATGATTAATTATTGTG